ACCCCCACCATTCCAGTCCTCACCCTGCGTCCATGGCAGACAATTTTCCCAATACTCTCTCTCTACTTTTGGGCATTAATGTTTTGCTCTAATTTTCCTACTAACATTCAAGTCTGCCTACCAAGGGCAGATGTTAGATAATTTATTATCCATTGCTCATTTTGAATATCATGGGTGCTGCAGCCATCTGCTTCTGGAATCCTAGATTGTGAATGGTTATGTTCCAGAGACATTTCTATAGGACACTAATCCATTTTGGGATTCAGTTGGACATCTCTGGATCAGGGCCGTTGGTGCGCAAAGATAGCGCTCAGGGGCACGTTTGTGGGTGTGACAGTTGGGCCAATGAGCAGGCAGGAAACCAGGGAGGGACAGCCCAGCACCTCTGCCACCATGTGGCATAAAAATTTAATCCTGGAACCCACCTACCTGGGCCTTGCTTGTGGAAGCTCTTGGTCACCAGGATTCCATCTGGAGTAGGAGGGGAGACTGCACCTGCTCCATCTGGGGTGCCCCGGTGAAATTGGCTCGGTATGGGGCATGGAGAGATCTCTGGCTCTGTGGTATCTTCCAGGACTTTCTGTTGCATCTCTGGCTTTTGATCTCTTTGAGATTTATTTATGTGTCTCTGAAGCAAGGCCAGAAGTAGAGTTTACAGGGTGGTGTTGGAGTTGGTTTGTGGGGGTGACTGCCAGTGCTTTCCTGTGTATTGGGAAGTGGGGGGAAGAAGCCCACCCCAACTCCAGGAAAGCCTGAAGATTTCAGTCACAAAACCCGCATATCCAAATTTTCAGCAGATTATATCTTGGTGAGGTCTGTCTCAGGAGTTAGGCTGCAGGTATGGTGGCAATTTTGGATTGTGGAAGCAAGTGGATGCTGGGGGCTCTATTTGGGACGGCACAGGCCAACCAACAGGCCCCTCTCCAATTTACTCCAGTCTGTATAGTCATGCATGGTCAAGATTAACTGTGGCTTTTGGTCTCTTGAGATTTATCTATGGGCCTCTGAAAGAAGGCCAATAAATGAGCTTGTATAGCTCAGCCAGAGGTGGTTTGTGGGCATGGCTCCCACATACCTAACTTTTGGCTATTTTCTTTTTTGGTAAACTTGGTCCAAGTTGTTGGGGTCTGGTCAAAGGCACAGCGGCAATTTTGGTGTGTCAGGAAGCCTGAAGGCACCATCAGGTTGCTGATGTACTTGCCCTGCTGGTACAGGTTGACCTGTTGGTGGCACCAGACCCCCACATAATTTTTTTTTTTGCATGCGCCCTTGTCCTCAAGCCTCTCTTTTCTTTATAAGGATGTTATTCGTATTGTATTAGGGACCACACTTCTTTAGTATAGTCTCATCTTCATTAACTATGTCTCTAGCAACTCTAGTTTTAGATAAAGCTACAACCTTAGCTACTGGGGTTAGAATCTCAAGACATATTCAAACTCAGAAGGTGCAGCTGAAGAAATAGTATTGTGGTTAAAGCACTTGCCTTGCATTTGGCCAACTCAGGTTTAATCCCGGCACCTCATATAGTTCCACACGCCCTATGAGGAGTGATACCTGTATGCAGATCCTGGAAGAAGCCCTGAGTACTTCTGTGTGTGGCCCTAAAAAAACAAAAACAGAAGTCAACAATGCTTCAGAAAGCACAATTCAATAAATAATGGAAATAACCTCCTTAGCATTTGCTTCCAAAAAGGAATTTCCTCATCAAAACAGAGTACTGCTAGTAGAACTGTTTCCTGAAAAATGCATATAATTTTTATTGTCAGCAACCATCACTGAAGCTGATTCTACATACCCACCACAGACATGAATTATTTTTAATACAAATAAAATGTGTGTAATTATTCTAATCTAATCCGTCTTGATTTTATAACCATGATTAGTTATTGCTTTAATAATTTCTTCTTATGGCTGGAGTGATAGCACAGCAGGTAGGGTATTTGCCTTGCACACGACTGACCCGGGTTCGATTCCTCTGCCCCTCTCAGAGAGCCTGGCAAGCTACTGAGATTTACCCTCTCTCACGGCAGAGCTGGCAAGCTCCCCATGGCTTATTCGATATGCCAAAAATGGTAACAACAAGTCTCACAACGGAGACATTACTGGTGCCCACTCAAGCAAATTGATGAACAATGGGAGGACAGTGCTACAGTGCTATTTACAACTTTTACATCTTATTTGTGACTTAATTATATTCTCGGACAATTATTTATTCAACTATTAAGTTATTTGTTGATGAGTTTAAGAAATTTAAAAAAAATTTTGGGCCATACTTGGTGATGCTTAGGGCTGACTCCTGACTCTATGTGCAGGAATCACTGTTTGCAGTGCTTGGGAACTGCTGGGGATTGAACCCAGGTCATATAAATGCAAGGCAAGTGACCTCAATGCTGTATTGTTGCTCCAGCCCCCAATTATTGAGGTTTTAAAACTAATTTTATATGAACTCTGTTTATACTAACATCAGTTAACATATTTGCAGTAAAAAAAATTCTAATTTTCTTTTAAAAGTACTTGTGGGATCAGAGAGGTAATACAGTGGACCCAGGGCACTTGTATTGCTCACAGTTCACCCAGTTTGAACCCCAGAATCCCACTTAGTTTCCCCAGATCCCCCAGCAATAATTTCTGATGCAAATCCTGGGCACTAAGTCTGGCAGAACTTATTGCTGGCTCTGAGCCTAGGGATAACTTCTGGTGTGGTTCTTCGGACCTTTTGGGGTACCAAGGATGGAATCTGAGTTGGCCACTGCAAGGCAGATGCCCTACCCACTGAACTATCTCTCTGGCCCCAGTTTTCTTTTAAATTATATTTATGCTCAAAATTACTATGAATGAGCATAGAAAGTTATCAGACTTCTTTGTAGTATCTTCTTTTACTTCTATATTTGGATATATCATATTCCTTAGGTGTATAAAAATCAGTTTGTTTGATTTTTATTTAAATTAATACACATTTCTTTTATACACATGAAATTTTATGGGTTTCATATAAACATAAGATACAAACAAATATAAAAACTTATGGTATAGCATTATTTATTGGGTGATACTTCTCTTTTTAACATCTGTGTGTCCTTTCCTATTCATAAATTTTTAAGGACATATAGACTAGTTATATTTTTTTAGTATATAGACTAGTTATATTTTAAATGTCATTAATCTTCAATGCTTATTTTGCCCAAACCATATTTTAGCTATTTCAGTTTTATTACCTGTTTATACTAGCCGGATAACTATTTTGTGTCTTTCTCTTTATCCTTCTTACACACACACACACACACACACACAGACACACACACACACACACACGTATGTATTGGATTTGGGGCCACATCTGGTAGTTTTCAAGGCTTATTCTTGGCTCTCTGTACATCTGTACTCAGGGATAATTCCTGTTAGGGCTTGGGGAACCATATGGGGTGCCAGTGATTGACCTAGGTCAGATGCATGCAAGGCAGACAAATGCCTCACTCACTGTAATGTTTCTCAAGACCCTCATAATTGTTCTATAAAAAGTTTTATGTTTCACTTATTAATGCAGTTAAATATAAATTTAGGATGATTCAAAGTTGTAATAAATTTATCTATTAAATTTATCTGTGAGAAAATGATTCATCTTCTGTAAAAAATAATTAAATGATAATTCTTTTCTTCCCAATCTTTTAGATAATCATATGAAGTTATTTAGCTTACTTTTGGTCATTTATTCAATGTTCAGCAAATATTTATGGGTCATTTATTATTTTTTAGGAATCGAGTAATACGTTTATTTTATCAGAATACAGAATAAAAACATTAAATTTGATTTTTCTCAAGGAATTTATGTTTAAGGAAGTCAGAGATAAGAAAGTGGCAAAGGATGAGAATTAGTTAAGAAGATTCTGCAGTGCCTTAAGCACAAAGTACAGAGATCACTGTACTTTGCAATGAGTTTCAGAGATTGAGAATTAGTTAGATGTCGAGGCCGCTTGCTTTCGGGATAAAACACTAACAGTGCAAGTGCACTCAGATTTCAAGAGCACGACATTAACCTTAGATGGTAGGAGTTTAATAGTGGCCAGTGTAGGGTGTGAATAAAGACTAATGAACTGGGCAGCTGGAGCAATAGCACAGCAGATAGGGTGTCTGCCTTGTACGCGGCCAACCCAGATTCAATTCCCAGCATCCTATATGGGCCCCAAGCACCGCCAGGAGTAATTCCTGAGTGCAGAGCCAGGAGTAACACCTGAGCATCGCTCAGTGTAACCCCCTGCCCCCAAAAAAGAAAGACTAATGAACTGTGAATCTGTAGTACATATGAATCTCATTTTCTCTCATGCATGTGTCTGTGGAGGGGTAAACTGGTGAATTTCACAAAGGAGAGTAGTGGATTACAGCTATATTTTTGAAATTTCGAGGAGAAGAACATAGCAGATCAAAATAAAGATGCCAAAATGAGGGAAATAACTTGTTAGTGATTGATAAAAAACCTATTTGTTGCATAAACACTGAGTGCACTTATAAGTGAAAAGTCAAACTATTCTAACCAGACTTAGTAGCTCAAGTTGTGGACTTAAAAATTTTTGTTTAATTTTTGGGCCATGCTCTGTGATGAAAAATAATTGACTTTAATAAGACTATCTTTACTCAATGGATGGTCAGAATTGGGCGTACTCTGGACAAGGGTCTTATAGTTTGCCCATTAAGTTTGACAAGTGAACAAATCCAGCTGCAGCCCAAGACTTCTGAATTATACTCTTTTCTTTAAATGGCACATTACCTTTCATTAAGTTCTGTAATCATCCATTTATACTTTAGAAACATTCTGGAACACTTTCCAGATCTTAAATTAATGTGAAATAGCAACCATTATTTTTTTTCTTTTTGCTTTTGGGACTTGAAATTGTATTCTTATGATTTTTAAGCAATGTAACTATAGCACTATGTGTGTATAGGATGAAATGTTTGCCAAGTGCTCCATCTAACCTTTACTCCTTCTTTTCCTGATTCTCTTTCAGACAACAATGCTATGGATGAAAAGGTTTTAAATCCTACTTTTTTCTTCCCTCCTGAGGGACCTTGTCTTTTGTACATGTTTGTTTGTGACATGTTAGACCTGTTTTGGTTCTTCTGCTTCAGTTGTGAAATGTGCATGTTATGCTAGCTACCCATCCTTTGGTTGTCCTTTGGTGTGCCCTGTATGTTGCATTTACGAAGGGGTCACACCTTCCCAGCTGTGCTCTCTTTAGCTTATAGTTGCCAACCTAGGGGGTCTGCTACTGTCAAGCTCAGCATCTGTTCTTAAGTCTGGCCAATCATCATCTCCTGACTAATTCATGATCTTCACTGCACATACACAATTTTAAGGGCAAAATAGAATTTGGAGTCTGCTATACTTTCCGAATTTTTGCCAGTGCTTTTGTTTCAATGCTGACAGCTGATATCAAAACTTCCACGCACAAAAACATAACAGCTTTGACTTGGAGCTGACCCTGCTTAGCATCTGTCCTTGTAGGTGTTACGTGTCTAGTGCAGTTGACCTGTGTTACAGATAAACACAACTATGGTATGCTAAAAAAACTTATTTGTTTTGTTTTGTTTCTTCTTTCTCACTTAAGGCACGAATAGTAAGTGGCAATGATTTGGATGCTTCCAAATTCGCTGCACTACAGGCATTTGGTGGGTAAGTACATTCATAACCTTTCTCAATCATTTAATTCGACATTGGCTGAGTTCTCAGCCTATGTATTTTGGATGCAGAATGTTGCATAATGGGGTAATTAGTTAGTCCCACAGTTGCTTTCTTTCATTCACAATAAAGTAGATTTTATAGTTTATTTGTGTTTGTATGTATACTTTACTCACTAAATTAGTCATTAGAACTATCATTCCATACACGGATTAAATAAAAGAATTTTACATTAACGTGCATTGAAAGTTAAGTGATTAAGTTACATTAACAGTTCACATAATACAATGACTATTATGTTTCTCTCTTTACACTTGGTGATGTGTGCTTGAATATTTTCCTATAGCAATATGTTAATGATTTCAGTCTCCTCTCATTGTTTTTATATATACCTTTAATGAGAGTAGAAAATACTTAAAATTTACCTACAAAATAATATATGAATATATTCTTGATGTAAAGTACTCAAGAGCAAAAGATTGTCTTTAATGCCCATCTTTAGACATTAGTAACAATATTGCTTCTGTTTTTATAAGCATTGTCCTGATTGTTTGCCTATATAGTGATGTTCATATTGAATAAATAAGCTTGTATTGTGTATTTCTGGATTAACACATACACAATTTTACATTATATGTACATAGTCAGCAAATACTTATATTATAGCAGGTATGATAAAGTTGCTTAATATATAATGATTTATTTCATCTTTTCTGTGGCCTTGCGAGGTAAGTACTGTATTTATCTCCATATTGTAAATGTTGAAACCTGTGTATGAGGCAATTTAAAATTTTCTTTTGGGGTCAGAGAGATAGTTCAGGGTCTAAGGTTCTTTCCTTCAATGCCACAGACCACAGTTCAAACCCTGAAGCTGAGTATGCCTCTCCCCTTCCCACCCTACTGCTGACCCTCTCCCCCCACCCCACATCCCCAAGAACACAGAGCCAGGAATCATTTATGAGCACCAATGAATGTGGCCTTCTCCCTCCCTACTCCTCCAAATTTTCTCTTTACAAAATCCTTGTAGCTTATTTCTTTCTCCTTTGTCAGAAGTGGGATACGAGCCCACGCCTCCAGGGGAGACTGCAACCTGAACGCAGCACCTTAGTCTGCTCGGTCATCCTGGGCTGGAGCAATAGCACAGCGGGTAGGGCGTTTGCCTTGCACGCAGCCAACATGGCCTACCAGAGTTCAATTCCTCCGCCCCTCTTGGAGAGCCCAGCAAGCTACCGAGAGTATTCGATATGCCAGACACTGTAACAACAAAGTCTCCAATGGAGACGTTACTGGGCCCGCTCGAGCAAATCGATGATCAACGGGAGAGCCTTTACTTTACTCGAGCAAATAAAATCCTTGTAAGTAAAAATGTCAGCATCCAAACACAGTTTAATTCCAGAGTTTGGGATCTTAATCACTTTGTCATACGAGTGATTAATGGGATATTTTAACTTTCTTTTACCATATAAAAATTACTTGAAAAACCTTCCACTTCATTTTCTAAGTGGAATAAATATTTCAAAACCTTTATATACTATTGTTTATTCTACTAATGAACTACCTAACACTATTTCTAGATAGCGGTTTTGTAAAGGATATTTCAAATAAATTTAATTGATTTTTGGAGTATAATTTGTGGACCAATATTCTTTATAGATATAAAAACACTTGTATAGATATATTGATATTAAGTTTTGTTTGTTTGTTTTGTAATGAGCCACACCTGGCGGTGCTGATTTTGTGTTAAAAAAATCATTCCGGGTGGGGTTCAGGGGACCATATGGAGGGCTGGGATTAAACACAAGTCACCCAAACTGCAAGGTTAACAGCCTACTTGAAATAAAATTGTTATAGTGTTTCTGTATAAGTGATGTAAAATTTGGATTTATTTTTATAGGCAAAGAAATAATTTCAGTTATCATATTATTCTTTTAAATGCATTTCTTGTTACATATGTACTTCCACATGTTACTTATTTTAAATTAAAAATAAGTGAAAGTTTTGGACTTCAAGTTTAAATTTCTAAGAAAATAACAGTAATTTTTATTTTCCCAAATAAAAAGCACTGCAGCACTGTCCTCCCGTTGTTTACCGATTTGTTCTAGTGGGCCCAGCAACATTGTGAGACTTGTTGTTACTGTGTTTGGCATATCGAATACGCCACGGGGAGCTTGCCAGGCTTTGCCGTGCGGGCAAGATACTCTCGGTAGCTTGCTGGGCTCTCTGAGTGGGGCAGAGGAATTGGCCAGGTCGGCTGCGTGCAAAGCCATACCCGCGGTGCTATTGCTCCAGTCCAAATAAAAAAAATGTTTAAAAAATGTTAGACATAAGTTTTAAGTCTATGTATTTCAAAATACACATGTGAAAATTATTTCTTATTCTCATTATTATGTAACAATGATTTAAATGTTATAAAACAGTTGTGATAAATGACCATCATGGACTATTTATAGAACATTTAGATAACAAATAGAATACTCTCTTCTTCCCACAATATTGTCTCTCTTTGCGTTTACTAAGTTAATTATAACTTGATGAAATAAAAATGGCTATCTTAGATTATAGTACAGATGATTATAATTTAAGAAAAATGTTTATGCTATGATCTGTGTACGTATATGACTTTATGACTGTATAGTTCCTGCAACACCTGCAGCTATGATAGTTTCACACTAATTTGCTTTCCTAATTTGTTACTCAATATGGACTTTTATCACTGTCAAAGCAACAAAGCACAAACCTAATCTATGTCAATGCTTTTCTTAATTGCATGCTTTTGAAATGCTGATTCAAACAGGGAATATCTTTGCATTTGTAATATATCCCTTTCACATCATTTTCCAGATATTGTCTATTTCAAAGACTTCCCAAGGGATTTTTGAACTATGAGTATGTAAGAAAAGGGTGATGATTTCCAGTTATTAAGCAAATTGATTTTAATTATTTCTTCTTGAAGAATCTGAGGCCATATTTTAAATATAAGCCTTTACTCACAACCTGTTTCAGAAAAATTTGACTTTTGACATTTTTTAAAAGCATTTTAAATAAATGCAGTATTACCATATTTCTCTTAAATAACGTGACTACTATAATGTTGGAAAGCTAAGACCAATGCAGACTTTTCAAAATAGGGAGCCGTTACTCCTTCATATTAGTGCCACTGAGCACTTTGCTTCTAATCAGTTCAGATCCTCTCTTAGGAATTCAGAGCTAAACCACATCCACACTTCTGCCCTTCCTAAATGTCAATAAAAGAATAGTCTATGTACTCTGAAGCAAATAATGAACTGGGTGATATTGGTATCTCATTTCTTATTCTCTTTGTGCAATTCCTTAAAGTAGTGCTTGAAAATAATGTGGTGAGTCATACCAGTTGCAACATCAGTATGCTCTGTTGGTTGGCTGTGTAGAGCTAGGTGTCTTATTTCCGGTTCATGAAAATCTTTTAAATAATAATAATAATAATAATAATAATGCCTCTCTGATTCCATATGACTTTAATTACTCCTTTATAAACATTTGTAGCCAGAATCCGATTGTTTCCTGATGAAGAATATTTCAAGGCATATATACTTTAATATATTATTGTATTGACATATATTAAAGTATATATCAGTATACATATATATCACATATATGGTTTTTGAACAATTTTTTTTCTTATTGCGCTAAAGGTACAAGCATTTTCTTTTCCAGAATTCTGAGAAATGTATCAGACAGTGATGGGGATAGAGAGAGACAGGTAGTTTAGGAGAGATGCTCATCTTTGCTCCCGTTCTTTCATAACAGTTCAAAATCTTTGCAGGGTAATTGTCAAAAACCTCATTTCCTCTCCCAGTCAGGAAAGTTTATCTCCTGTTCATGGTTCTACACTAGCTCTAGATTAGCTCCAGGAACTGTTGGCTTTTCCCCCCAACAACTGTTCCCAGGATTACTGCACCTGTCAAAGAAGAAGTGCATCTGTAAAAGGCAAGGAACAAATGGAAAGAGAGGAAAATCAAGAGTTAATTTTGGGGGAAAAAAACAGAAGGATGACAAATAGAAAAGGAAATTTCTGGTTGCACTTAGTTTTCAAGGAGGTACAATGGTCAAAGTCCTGTTTTCAAGATTGCACAATTATTAGTAGGATCAAATTCAAATGGTGACTGTAAGTAAGTGAACTATAGGCCAATGCTTTATATAATTCTTCTATGAATAAGTTTATGTAGATTTAAAATAGTGACATTTTTATCATTTAAAAAATGACCTGTTATATCACACATAAATAAATATTGTAAGTATAATATATATTTTTGATATTTCTTTCATCATCCTGACATGCTTCTCTGTATTTACCTATAAGGATTAGGCATTCACTCTCTTCATATCCTCTTCCTCTCTTTTGCTCTCGATGTGTAAAAAATCCTAAAATTATCTATCCAACATGGACATTAAGGTTATTTTTAAGTTCAAGAACTCTTAATCTCTTTTGATATTCAGAGAATTTCTCTGATAGGAGATTTCTTTGGTTTCATTTTTCCTATTTTGTCCATAAATTAGAAACACAGCTTCTTTTAAGGACTAATTTATTTTTTATCTTTTAAATTTTATTTTAGTTAGAGTAATTTGCATTACTGTCTATGATAGCATTTCATGCATACAAGATTCCAACACTACACCCCTCCATTCCCCACCAGAATGTTTTCATTTCACTCCACCATTGTCTCAATGTAATCCTGTAATCCTCACAATCATCCCCGAATCCCCCAAACCCCTCTCACTGCCATGCTAAATTTTGTAGACCATGATTCTTTTGCTTTTTGTCTATTGTTATTCCCTTATTACGCTTCATTTTTAAACTAAATTTTATTTTTTCCCTTACACTTTATATAAATACTATGGGTTGCAAAGTTGTTCATGATGATTTGTTACAGACATTCACTATTCCAACACCAGTGCCACCACCATTACACCTTTCCTCCACAGTTGTCTCCAATTTTCCCAACCACCCCTAAAGC